TTATATGCGATCAATCCGTGACCATTATATTTCGTCTTATATGTGTGACGAAACAGAGACGAATATGTTTGGTCGTAATACCGCGACATATATGCGACTAAGTGTATTAGTCATAAATAAACGACCAAGTTATGACACTAACGTTCGTCACACAAGTGACTGATATGCGACTTTTTAGGTGTTCGTATACTTGTAATTGGTAGTCTTAAATTCGTCACAATTGTGACCTATTTGCGATAGTATTAGGTAGTCATAGATTAGTGACTACTCTGGGAGTGGCAAATTAGTCGATAAAGGGTGACGAATATGCAACTTAAATCCGATTATATTTTGATATCGTTAAGTATAATGACGCAATTCCGTCACAAATTGGTGACCCTTGTATCACAAATTTGTGACGGAAACATTATATAACAGATTTGGTCACATATTTTATCTCATATTTGGTCACAGATTTGGTCACAGATTTGGTCACAATTTAGACAATTGTTTTGTGTTTTGAACAAAATTAAAACAGTAAAAGCCATAGATTAATATATTATACAAGAACATAGAAATATCATACATAAAAAAATAATTGTATGTTCAAAAAAGTACTAAAACAAAAGATAGTAAAAGTTCAATATTCAAAGAGATTGGAATTAAGCAGTGGGTTGTGGGTCGAGTGGTGTGCTGCCTGAGATCTTCTTCTGCTGCAGTTCCTTCTGCCTCAGTGGGACTGTTCTCCTGGTCATCTTGTTTAGCCATGTATTCTGCGATGAGGGGATCAGAGTTCTTCAAGTACCTTAGAAGCTTTGACATTTCAGAGATCTTTTCCTGAGCTATGCGGTACTCCTCATCACTTCGAGCATTTTCTGCCTCTTGAGCATCAATCTTACGCTGCGCTTCCTAAAGTTGGTCTTGGATCTGTGAGAGTTCCGGCGCAATGGAGCTTGCAAAGCTCTCTTTCCCCTTTCCGCTCTGAACCATCAAAGGTAGTTCCCCAAGTCCAAAGACGACTCTTTTCGGATCAGTCTGTGTACACTGAAAATGAAACCAAAACACAACATCTATAAGCAAGCAGTTAAGCAATCAAACTCAAACCAGAAGTAGCAATTAACCAAACTAAACTCTAAAACCAGAAGCAACAGTTAAGCTAAAACCAGAAGCAACAGTTAAACAATCAGTTAGCAATCAAACTCA